CATGCTAATAGGTATTTAAAAGAATATTTTTTAATGCATTTTATGTGGAAATAATATTTTTTATGAAAAAATTTATTATAAAAGAACACTTTTTTCTTAATATTTATATATATAACAATAATATATTTAAAAATAATAAAAAATTATATTTTACATTTACAAAATATATATATTTATATTGCAAAATATATATATATGTGTGTTGATTTATTATAAAAATGTTTTAATAATAGTGTACAATGTATTACGACCTACACTAAAATTTGTTATGTAAGAGCAAATCAATAGGGAGAAACTAATAAACTTGCCATATCATGCAATGCCACTGAATTTAGGAGGATCAAAAACATATTCAAGATTTAAATCTCTTTGTACAGCTAATATACATACATAAATATAACAGTCAGTCAATGGCTGGTATCGGATACAAATTTGTCATATTTTTCATTGAAGTATTCATGAAAATAATTTTGCAAGTTATAGGATCTTTTATGAGGATACAATAAAAATAATTTTATAGGATCTTTTAATGAGGGTACAATAAATATATAAAATGCTTTTTAAATTTCTCATCGGTTGCCAGAACTATTTATTACATATGTTTTTTCGTATTGACCTTTGTTCGAATACTGACTACTGTCTTCTTGTTTATATGTCTCTCATATATGTCAGGATCAAGACTGTTTGTATTAATATCAGGCTAGATGTCTTAGCGGCTCGCTGTCGGTTACTTTTAAAATTTGTTACACAATGTCATGCAAAAATAAGAAAAGATACATGCTTTAATTCTACGGGGACGATACAAAATAATAAGATTATAAGCAGAAACAAAAGATTAAATTAACATTTGCAATAATTGTTAAAAATCGATAAAGTTAGTAGTTTAAACTTAATAACTGCCATAATCAAATGAGCGCGGATATTTTCATAATTTATTAGCGTGCTAGATACCAACGATATTTGACGAAATTGAACCGAGACGCTTTCACTTTGAGATATATAAATTTCTAGCTTGTATGAAATACGAACTTAGAAAGAGATAAAAATTTTCATATAAACTTTCCTATACAAAATATACCTAAAATATGAATTATATCAAAAAAGAGAAATTGATAAAAAAGAAAATACATATTTTTATGATTGTAGCGAATCTAATAAATATCTCGCGGGAGGGAGAGGGAAGAAGAGAGAGAAAAAAAAAATCCGATATCTCGATTTTAAGCATCTCGGGCATATCTTCCGAGATGTCGGGTAGATTCGTATCCGTTAGTGGATTGCGCGGGCGAACACGAGAGGAACGTATTCAAAGGGAAATTATCATTCTGCCAAGTCACGGATACTTGACTGGCTGTATAACACGAGGGGAGCCGTGCACCGAGGCAATAGAGGCCGCGCGTTCGTTCTAAAAGTCTGGCATAGAAATCTCTCGCTCTCTCCCGGTGCTTGCGAATGTGCATACTGCCAGACGCCGGCTACTATGCAACGACGACGACGCAGCTCACAATGAGATACTTGCAACTGCGAAATCTCCTCGTCTCTCGTTGTATTTATGTTGAATTACGACGTTAAAAGTGAGAAATCGTGTTAATTTCTTATCTTGCGTCTTTATGCGTCAAGATAAATTAGCTTGTTAATTAATTATTATACATTTCTGTTTTTTATACAAATCTGCTGAAGACAAGATAATTAAAAAGCAAGTTTTAGACATATTTTACCAATCTGTGCTATGAACGCGAATGTAGTAACATATATGAAAGAATTAATTAAATACACAAAACGAGCGTGCTTGTATGTGCAAATTGAGCATCTCACGGGCGAGATATGCCTCTTCCTGAGATTAGATGTAAATCCTCGCCGTTCATCTGGCTAATTAATAACAGTACTAATGACGAAGTCGTCGGCCTAGAAGTATGATGTGGAGTCGTTCCCACGTTGAAACGCGAGCGAGCGCGTTTTGCGACGATAATGAGCGCGCCGACAATGAGCAATGAGGTGAAAAAAATGAGAAAAGAGACGGGCACGGATAATTTTTCGTTCGACGATGTCATTGTGTGGCGCGTGGCGACGAGAATACGAGAAAATAAAGCGAATGTAGAACACTGGTTCTCGCGCGATGACATTTATGGAATATATATCAACTGATGCTTAGAGAAACGTGTATGTGTGTATAATATACAGAGCGTCTCTCAAAATGTGAAACTTGCACCAATTTTAATTTTGATTTTTGATTAATTTGATCAATAATTTTGAAGCATTAGATTATCGAAGAATTTTTTGCGAGCTAAAAGATATTAGAAGATAGAAACAAGAATATTATATTATTTCCTTTATATATATTTGGAGACTATTGTTAATGAATGAGATATATTAATCAAAACTCTTACGTATAAAATTAATAAATTATATATAAAATAAATGCATAAATATAATTCTAATGTTTCAAGCATTATAACATATCTATTTTCACCATTTGTAAGAGATGAGAGATTTAATAAGCCAGCTTATTTTCATACAACGTAGACCTTTTCGTGTAAAGTGAAATCGGAACAGAATGATTAAAGGTGTAATCGCGTTTTCACTTTATCCCATCAATGTCGCAAAGCACGAATTAAAAACTTGTTATAAGTGCGATCGAGGAGACGATCAGATAATCGTGTGAAATATTTTGTCAAGTTTAGAGACAATCTAGACGCATTGTATAATAAAAACGGGGAAAACAGCAAGACGTGAGAGGCATGTAAATGAAAAACTTTAAATGACATAAACAATTTATATCTCGGTTTCTGTAAATATTTCTACCCAGCAATTTCAATGAAATCACTTCTCGATAAACCTCACATGGCGCGGAACGGCCACTTTGCAGAATGCAGGAAAGAAGTTTCACTTCTTCGGCATCGCACGAAGAACCGAGAGGGAACGGCTCGGTGTCTCTTGATATACATATAATAAAAGCAGAGAATCGCGCGCGGATTCGAGCTGAATATCATTAAGGCAGTATCGCGTAATGATATTCAACCATCTCCGCGAGGCCTCCTCACGAGTGGTTCACGAGGTTGAGAACTTTCCAGGATCGTGGCTGGAATACAAATAGGACAGACGCCGTTAAAAAATCCGCTCGTCGTGAAGTCCGGATCGGCCGTGACCTCGAAAAAAAAAAGAAAAAACGAAAAGAAGTCGACTCGAGATCCGTTGCTTTCCTCTCGTTTGTTCGTTAATAATTAATACGAGCGAGGACGATGAGCTCGCTGCGTGGTATTTTATCCCCTGGTGCGAATCTGTCTTACGAAAAGGCGCGATAGAGCGTGACTTCCATCTCGATCTCATGCGAGCCGGGAGTGAAAATACGATTAGAGCGTATGAACAATTCGCATTGTTTTCATGATCATGCATTAGAGATAATTATTCCAATGCTTGTGTTAAATAATTCTATTCTATTTTATTCTAAACGCGAAAATATAAATGAGCTATACGAAGCTGAGTCAATATTAATGTAATTATGTTTTAATGTCATATAAAGACTAATTATTTTCGTTCGCAGTTAATTTTAAAATTCAGCAATTCCTAAAATTAACTATTTTTTACAAGATATACATTTTCATAAATTCCTCCTTTCCTTCTACGAATGTGATATAGTAGAAGATAATTTTCTTGAATGTTTTCCACGCTGCTGGCTATGCTTGCTTATTTATTTATCTTTCTATTCAATGGAGTTTCCAGATTATTCGCGTTTGTCTGAGAATGGATTCTTTGAACCATATATTACTTTCGCCATTAGCATTTCTCGAGTGCCAATGAAAATTGCTTCATATTGAATAGATATACATATATCATTATTATGTAAGAATTATAAAATATAAAAATGTGAAATAGATGAATAATGTTTCTCTGCTAGAAACTATAATAAATAATAATAAGTACAAATTATAATGGCAAGAATCTCAATTCCGAGGAAGTTGTCGAAAACCACCTTACAAACTTTTTTCAAGAAAAACCAAGTTCTTTCTTCAAAAATGGAATCGACAAGCTTGTAGATCGTTGGAAAACCATTGTAGAAAAGAATGGAGACTATATAATTGATTAATAAAAGTGTTATCTCTAAAATATAATCTATTGAAGTTTATATTTAAATCGGGCACGAACTTATGCAATCACCTGATATATATATATATAAATCTATTTATGAGTTTATGATAAAATATATTAAAAATATAGAAGTATAAAAAATATTTTCCGTTCTTATTTTTAACGTTTTCAATTCTGTCTTAATTTTAAATTAATCCTAAGTATTCAAAAAAGAGAAGAGTAAATCTGCAGTCAATTTATTAAACTCTATCAATTTATTTTTCTTTTGTAAGGAAGTTAATTGTTAATTCTTATTATTGTAGAATATAATCTGTTCCGATTGTCTCTAAACCTCAAATGACTTTCGCCGTCGTCTCTGTCAGGCATTGTAAATACTAACGAATGAATATAGACAATATTCTAAATTACTCTCTCCTCCAAGCGCAATGCAGATGTGAATAATACTTGTGACTGGAGAACCGTATCTCGGGTCTTTAACCTTATCGTGCGTGAATAGCTATAAATACATAGAGTTAAGCACAAAAGTTTTTCAAGTATGTCGACGAATAATAGAAATATAGTACGAACATAAATTAGAAAATTTATTTATAACAAATAAATTTTTGCTTATTAGTATTTTTTAAATCAAAATTGAAATAATAAATCAAAATAAATCAAAATTATAATAATTATATAATAAATCAAAATTAATAATAAATCAAAATAAATCAAAATTATAATAATTATATATTTAAGATTTTAAACGAAGATTTAAGATTTATATTCAAGATTTGCACGAGATACTTTTATGCAGGTTTTTTTTTTCAGATTCGATTGAAAGCTATATACGGCAGCACCAAGGCGGGGGCATTAAACTCATTACATTCTCATTGTGCTTACTTGTTATTGCGTTATCTTCACCTTCACTTTCTTTTCAGGCATCGAACAGCAGAATTACCTGGAGGCTGCTGCTCGTCTGCTTCGCGGTGCTGCTCATAGGCCTCCTGCAGTATGCCGAAGGTAATCTATAATTTCTGTATCCGTTAATCTTCAACGGTATCTGCTTTTGCAACGATTGCACTCTGAAAATCGTGACGATTAAATCTATTAGCCAGAGGCAACTTGAATTTATACCTTGAAACGAATAAGAGTTATTAAAGCTCTACTAATGATTCCATTATTGATCAGTTATCGATGATTGATCAATAACGTAATGCCTTGTTTCACAGCGGCATATTACGTCAGAATTTTCAATTCCGAACGGTATATATAATGATTGATAATTTCTCCACCGAGTCGATTACATAAATTTTTCACCGATCGAAGCGATGAGCTGAACGCGCGCAGGTGCCGGCCAATCTATCCGTCACAAGAGCACTCACCTGCGCGAGAAAAAGCGCGTGTGCGCCTTCCGGTTACACAAACTTGTATTATATTATATAATGTTCCAAAAAATCGAAAAAGGGTCCCCGCGTTACGATATCGCGTGATATATGCAAAACCATATGCGGTTCCAGATTAATCGGTTCTAACGGGTGAAAGGCACTTGCCTTTCGAAGTTAAGTTTCGTGTCGTATGTATAAGAGCGAAATCTTACGCAACGTTGAAACACATATTCGTGCGCGGATTGTGTAATCGCCGAAGGAAGAATCGGAGCGAATTTTACGTAATTATCCGGCGATTGTGTCTGCATACATATGTATTCGCCAGGCGCGAGAAAGAGATTCCGCAGACCGACGACTTCCGCGCCGTCGATCTCGAGCGATCAGGAGGTCTCAGCCAGTGTCAACAGGTTCAAGGTTACGCGAAATCGTGTCAGCAACAAGAATACGAAGAACGAGCTGCAACCTGGCAAGACGAACGATTACAAGGTACGTGTAGCGTTCGTTAAATATCAATATGTTAACGGTAACGATATTACGAGCACGTACGAACCATTTCAGTGAACGGTTATTTTCATATTATGCGCGAATTAATTGCGCTTCCTCTTTCACACAGACACACATACGAGTTAATAATGGGCTCCTTGAGATTGTTCAACTTAAGTCGATGCCCGCTGTGATTCATCTCTGTAAAAAAATCCTCAATTGTTATCTTAAAATTATATTGTGAAATTTTTTCGAGATTCTTATCTCGAGACAATTTATTTAATAGCTAGTCTTGATTTATTACTTTTCGAGTTAACGAGTATCGCTCTGTAACTGCTTGCGGTACAATTTCGAGATATATCTAACATCCTGTTTCTGTTTTGATATTATCAACGTTCTTCAATGTAATAAATAATTTTTATCGCGTGTCAATGTTTTAAAAGTGTTTCGAGAAATATATATAATACTTTTATATTATGTAATTAAAGACTTTATACGGTCGTTTGGTAAGTATTTTAAAATAGGAAGTGTTTTGCAGCTACGTTTTTTTTGTATGATTCTCCTGCATTAATTTTTTATTATTTCTATCTATAGCTGGTGTGTTATTACACCAATTGGTCTCAATATCGCACTAAGATCGGCAAGTTCATGCCGGAGGACATTCAACCTGATCTCTGTACCCACGTTATCTTTGCCTTCGGATGGCTGAAGAAGAACAAACTGACCAGTTTTGAATCGAATGACGAAACGAAGGACGGCAAGATCGGTCTGTACGAAAAGGTGATAAATCTTAAAAAAGCCAATCCGTCTCTGAAGGTCCTGCTTGCGATTGGTAAGTTCGTTTTGTTTTACATTTATATTATCTTGACGAAAATTATTGATCCTGAGCACAAAATTAAAACTACATTATTGATGTAGCCACTATGCGTTTGGTGTCAATTCCATGATAATAATTTTTAGCAATATTTAAAATGTATACAAATGCGTGTAAAATCTGTCGGATAAAATTACAACGGAATTTTCTCTGCTTTATATTTAGGCGGTTGGTCCTTTGGCACGCAGAAGTTCAAGGACGTATCCTCGACGAGATACGCCCGACAGACCTTCATCTACAGCGCTATACCATATTTGCGAGACAGAAACTTCGACGGTCTTGACATCGACTGGGAATATCCAAAGGGTGGGGACGACAAGAAGAACTACGTTCTGTTGCTGAAGGGTAAAGACTCGCCTGGAAAAGGGCAACAACAACAAGTTTCCCGAGACTGGAAATGTCGGATACACGCGTAGCGTCAATCTTGATAACGCGATTATATTGCCTATTGTTTTATTCCTCAATTAACACGAGTTTGACATGACACGTGGAATCGTTTGACATTTCCATTTTTCTCGCCACGAACACGTTTGTTCACATTGTACGATTTAAATTAATTTTACATCGTTTTCTCGCTTCAGAGCTCCGGGAGGCTTTCGAGGCGGAGGCTCAGGAGAGGAAAAAACCGCGTCTCTTGTTAACCGCCGCGGTACCAGTTGGGCCTGACAATGTCAAAAGCGGATACGATGTGCCCGCAGTTGCCAGGTATAATAATAAAAAAAATGTCTGGTATTAATATGAGATAAATTAAAACACAAAATTGTACACGAGTATAAAATAATGCTTATAACAAATAAGAAATAACACGAATAGATAAATTCTTAATTTCTTTTTTATGCGATATTGAATTTAATTAGCCATATATAAATTTTGTGTAAATATTTGTTAATATACGTGCAGATATTATTTGTTATTAAATTTAATTCTCCACTGACTGACAAGTGTCTTTTGCAAAATTCTAGAAGGCATTTTCTTGCATTTATTATAACTCGATCGCGATATGTATAAAAATGCATTCGATTACTTAATAAAAAGAAAATGCATTTTTTCATCTACTTAGTTATCTAGACTTCATTAATCTCATGGCCTACGACTTCCATGGCAAATGGGAGAGAGAAACCGGTCACAATGCTCCGTTGTACGCCTCGTCATTGGACTCGGAATGGCAGAAGCAATTGAGCGTTGACAATGCGGCCGCGATATGGGTTAAACTTGGCGCACCAAAGGAAAAATTGATTATAGGCATGCCTACATATGGCCGGTCCTTTACCCTTTCGAATCCGGCAAACTTCCGCGTACATGCAGCAGCTAGTGGTGGCGGAAAAGCGGGCGAATATACCAAGGAATCAGGTTTCCTCGCGTATTACGAGGTACTTTCCTGTCTTGCATTTACAGTATAAATAAATTCCAAATCACAGTATATAAATTAAAAATTTAGAAACATTTCTTTTTTTCCATTTTATTAGCGCAATTAAAGTTGCAATTTTTTTATTTAATCTTAATTAATTTTTTTTTATTTTATTCTAATCCTAAACTTGATAAAATAAATTGTAACATTATTTGAATATTTCGTGAAATGCATAATATGATTGAGAAATATGATGAAAATTGAAATATCTGTGAGAGATAAAATCATCTTTTAATTTCAGATTTGTGAAATGTTACATAATGGCGCCGCTTATGTTTGGGATGACGAGATGAAGGTACCCTATCTGGTACACAATGATCAGTGGGTTGGTTTCGACGACGAGAAATCTATCAGGAATAAAATGTACTGGCTGAAGAGCAAGGGTTACGGAGGTGCTATGGTGTGGACAGTCGACATGGATGACTTTAACGGCACCGTTTGTGGTGGAAATGTTCGGTATCCTTTGATAGGCGCAATGAGGGAAGAGCTCAGAGGTGTCTCACGAGGTTCCAATGTTAAAGACATCGATTGGAGCGCGGTTGCCACCACCATCACGGAGACGATCGTGAAGAAACCGGAAGCTTACAAGATTTCTGTTTCGGAGGTTCTTAACAAACCGAAGAAGCTTCAAAAAGCTACGACACTTGTCATTAACACTCCAACTCACGGTAAAAATGTTTCAGAATTTATATAATTGCTAAAAAAATTAAAGTTATTTTTATTATATTTTACTTAAAGTTAATGCGATAAGCACATATATTTATTTTCTTAGCGTTTAAGGTAATCATTAAATAAAAATTCTGCTACGATTATCTCTATGATCAGAGATTAATTGCGCGTTGTAGTGAAAGTTTTTTTACGTATTGGCAGAGAGAGAGGCTCAAACTATTTGTTACCTGACAAATTGGTCACACAAAAGGCCAGGAATGGGGCGATTCAATCCAGAGGACATCGATCCGACTCTCTGTACTCACGTGATATATGCGTTTGCAACTTTGAAGGATCATCTACTTACCGAAGGAAGCGATAAAGACGCTGAAATGTACCAACGACTAATCGCACTTCGCGACAAGAATCCAGACATTAAGGTATTTGTCGAAAATTTTTACAAATTGTATTCAATATTTTTTAATATTATGTTATTGTCATTTTTATTATATATTTTAAAATAACGAGATTTTAATGAAGAAAGCCGCCTTAATAAAAGTTATTTCAGCTACAGATTCCAAATAATTTTTCAATCTTCCAATTCGCGACATTTCAAAAATAAATAAACAAGAAATTGAATTGAAAGAAATGATTAAAATTCAAGTGATTGTAAATGATTGAAAAATTAAATAAAAGATATTATTTCAACAAGCAGATTATTGAAACTTAATACAATCACTTATATTTTACGAAAATATTTTCAGATTTTACTTGCTATCGGAGGATGGGCGTTTGGCTCGACGCCCTTCAAGGAACTTACTAGTAACACATTCCGAATGAATCAATTCGTCTATGAGGCTATCGATTTCTTGCGAGATTATAAATTTGACGGATTGGATGTTGACTGGGAATATCCAAGGTTTCTGACTTATGTTTTTTACCTTATTAAATGGCTATGCAATATACAGCAACGTATATATATTATAATCTTTCAAAATTTTTATAGAGGAGCCGACGATCGGTCGGCCTATGTTAATCTTTTAAAGGAGCTCAGGCTGGCTTTCGAGGGCGAAGCGAAGAGCTCTGGTCAACCGAAGTTGATTCTGTCAGCCGCAGTGCCCGCAAGTTTTGAAGCCATTGCTGCAGGGTAAATATCATAGACATGTCGCGATTTATAATGATAAAAAGTTAACTAAATTATTTGTTTAAATTTTATATTTTATATATTTAAAAGTTGAAAGTAAAGTAATATTTTATTTTCATAAATTAATATATAAGAGTTTTGAAAATTTGTGTGAGACGATTGGAATTTTTTTTTTTTTTTAGATATGATGTTCCTGAAATATCTAAGTACCTGGATTTTATCAACGTAATGGCATATGACTTCCATGGTCAATGGGAAAGACAGGTTGGCCACAACAGTCCGCTATATCCTTTAGAAAGCGCTACTAGTTATCAGAAAAAGCTGACAGTGGTAAGTACGTAAATATCATGTATTTATGGATAATTTACATGTGTTAATGTCTCTTAATTGACATTGTTATTATACTTTTTTATTTCGCTTTTTTAGGATTTTAGTGCGCGAGAATGGGTGAAACAAGGAGCTCCGAAGGAGAAGCTCATGATAGGAATGCCCACGTATGGTAGATCCTTTACACTGGTCGATAAAGATAAGTTTGATATTGGTGCACCAGCGTCTGGTGGTGGACTGGCTGGAAATTTCACCAACGAATCTGGATTCTTGTCCTACTATGAGGTTTGCTACTGAGTATCATTTCTGTTCATTTTGCTTAATCCACTTTTATATGTACATTATTTTGTTTCTTTTTCTGAGATAGCGAAATATAATGAAATATTTATTAAACATCAATCCGTTAAAAAAAAAGAATTATTAATTTTTAAGGATTATATGCATATTATATGGTAGAATATTTTTAGAATAAAAATTTATATAACATTTTCTAACAAATTAAAATATCTTTTGTTATTTATATTTGCTCGAATAAATGTTTGGTAAATAGGTCTGTAGCTTCTTAAACGAAGACAACACGACTCTAGTGTGGGATAGTGAGCAACAAGTACCATTTGCGTACAGAGATGATCAGTGGGTCGGATTTGACGACGAAAGGAGTCTTATTAATAAGGTACGTGATCGTATTCTTGAATTTTTCGTCTCTTTAATTGTGAGATTAAAATTTCTAATATTACTTTTTGAATATTAATTGTGTGTGTACATACTTTTTTATTCACACATGCATACGTTTCTTACATTTTAAACATTATATTTTTTTACAGATGGCTTGGCTTAAGGAAGAAGGCTTTGGAGGCGTCATGATCTGGTCAGTTGATATGGACGACTTCAGAGGATCTTGCGGAGCAGGAAGGTATCCGCTGATTAAGACGATGAAAAAGGAACTGCAAGACTACAAAGTCAAGCTAGAGTACGAAGGTCCTTATGAAAGTACCTCGAGAAATGGAAAATATACTACTAAGGATCGTAAGTAAATGGATATATGTCGTGTATAAAAAAAATATTCTTATTGCATGAAGGGATAACTACAAAAGATATTAAGTCTTAAAATTGATAAAAATGATGTGAAAGAAATAGAGAAAGAGAAACAGAGAGATTAAGATAGTTGTAGAAAATCTGCTTTATCTTAAAATAAATTTTGCAGCGAATGAGGTGCTATGTGACGAGGAAGACAATCATATATCTTATCATGCGGATAAGAATGATTGCACGATGTACTATATGTGTGAGGGTGAGCGCAAGCATCACATGCCTTGCCCTGTGAATCTTGTCTTCAATCCCAATGAGAACGTATGCGATTGGCCGGAGAATGTCGAGGGTTGTTTGCAGCATACGCAGGCGCCACCCGTTTAAAAGCGCGAGAAACGTAATAAAAAGTAAAAAATCTTGTAAAATAAAAAAGTGACAAAAAAAGTCTGTAAGGAAAATAATATTATCAAAAGTATTCATTATATAATTTGTAAGTAATGAGACAGATATATTACCATTATTACGCGCGTTAACCAACAGACACTTTCCTTCTCTTCACGAATTTTTCTCTCTCTTATTCCATTATTATATATATTTTACAAGTACCTTATTTACTTTTAAGAATCTTTTTCCATTCTCGTCTATCTTTATCTTCGCCATTTGTATAAAGCACAAACGGAATCATGTGACAATTATGTTTGTAAATAAAGATTTCTCTTGAAATAAGTGGAAAGAAATAATAATCATTTTTTTCTCTCGTCTTTTGCTTTTTATAAAAAATATTCTCCTGCCTTTCGATATCGTGAAAAAAATAGTAAAAAAATCTTTTTCATAATTATTCAACTTTATTTTTTTTTTTATTGATAATCTCTTACATAAAAAATCACTTTTAACTTTTTAAAAAGACTAGGCCCAAGAACTATTCGTCGTAATATGAACTCGCCGTTAATTAGCAATGAAAACGAAGATGAAGAATTCGATGAAGGCCAGCCAAGCTGTCGCCAGTCGTTCGTAATTTCCCGAACTGAGGGCGGACGCTTGGCAAGCGGTGTGCGGAGTTCCTAAGGTTAACAAGACCTTATCGGAAGAATAAGACGGGGTTGTTTCCGTACATACAGCTCGGCCAGCTATGGTCCTTAGTTGTCTGGCATCGGACTGCGATGCTGTATGAATCTGTCGAGATTCTCTGAGCCATCTGCGCAGCCATAAACTCAGCCACGCAATCTCACAGTCGCATTCGAGCGGGTTCCCGGATACCTGAAGTCCCCCTGCAGAAAGAGCAAATATTTATAGTATATATGTACATACAGTATATATTGTAAGTATTTTTTAATAATTTTATAACGTTACAAAATTTAAATTAATAATAATTTTTAATTATTCTTTTTTCAAATTAATATGTTTATATCCATGTTTTTTATTACAAACTTACCAGCCACCATATTGGTCCCAACAGTCTCCCAAGAAAGATTTCCGTAAATTATCGACGGACTCAATTCGTTGATATGATTGTTTCTTAGATCCAAAGTAAGCTGCGACAATCTTTTCGTTAACGATAGAAAAATATCCGATTGAAGTCTTTGAACGTGCGTGTCTTTGATTCTCAATATTAATTCTCCGCCTTCGATAGTGGAGAATGCTTCGGAGGAGATCAATTCAAGGTCGCTTCCGGTGATCGTCAACTCTCTCAATTGTTTTGTAAAGACATTTTGTATTTGATGTCTTAGCAAATGTTCCGTCACCTGAATCTCGACCGTTCGAAGAGGTAGTCCGGACAGCAAGTGACGCAGATGAAACCCGTCGGCTTGAGGCCACGTTTGAATTCGCAGGTGCTTTAAATATTTTAAAGGTCGAAGACAATCCCTGTCCACTAATCTGGTCCGATTTAAATTCCTCAAGTTTAATTTTTCTAGTCTCGGATAACCCAAGAAGCTATCTTTCGTCAGTTCCTGAAAAATCATGCAAAGGCGTTATTTTTTAATGTTTTCAATCTTTCTTTCTTTAGAAAAATTAAAAACGCTTTCTTCGATTTTATTTTAATTTTACCTCGATAGGATTGCCAGATACGTCGAGCTCCCTCAACAAGTTCAATCTAACACCAGGCATTAATGTCAATGAATTATTTACCAACAAAAGAATCTTTAAACCCTCTAGATATTGAAACTGCTTGTCAGCGGTTTCGCCAACATTGTTGAAAGATAAATCCAAGATATTTAAATTCGTCAATGGCAGTAATGGTACGCTTCTAAGGCCGCAATTAGCCATGTAAAGTTGCCTAAGATTTGGCAAGTAATGAAACAACTCTTTGAAGTTTGCCTGAAGAATATTCTGAGACACATTTAAGCTGAGTAATTTTCCCAAGGAGACGAATGAATTATCTGGCAGTATACTTAGACGATTTTGCGCGAGATCCAGGGATACTAGATGAGAAGTCGGAAAAGCGGTCGAGTCAAGGTGATCTAAAAAGTTTTCCGCCATATTGAGATCTCTCAGAGTGTAGGCGACTTCTAAGAATGATGCTGACGGTACGACGGTGAATTTGTTATGACTAAGGTCGAGGATCTCTAGTCTAGTACCCTCGAAAACGTCTCGCGGTAACGATCGAATCTTGTTGTTCGAGAGATTTAGAATCCTCAAACTTTTGAGGTTTCTAAATTGTTCGGTTGACAGCTGGATGATTTCGTTTCCGCCGAGGTCCAGCCGTTGAAGAGATTCTAAACCGTGGAAAGATTGCTTACGTAACGTGTCTATCTTGTTGTCACTTAGATCCAGAATTTCCAAATGAGGGAACGCGAATGTTCCTGTGAAACAATATATACTATAATTATTGAAGATTTTTATTATTTTAGTATTATATATTTAATGAAAAATGTTTCAGCTGCTAAGAATCAAACTTTGAAAATTGCAAGTAAGAAAAAAAATATTGTCTTGATTTTTTTTTTACCTGAATCAATCGTTGTGAGAAAATTGCTCCGTAGATTTAAGCTTTTTAAATCGGGCGTTCCGTAAAACGTATCCGCTGATAAATGACTGATATTGTTAAATCCAAGATCCAATCTGGTAAGATTGTTCATCGTGGATCCCGAGTCGACGTACGCGATTGCATTATAGGAAACATTCAGTGCAAAGTCGGGGCCACCAATTTCCGCGATAGCAGCCAAATCCAGCACAGTCAGTTTGTTGAATTCCAAGTGAAGGAAACGCAAGCTGGACAAGCCGTACAAGGAATTTCTCTCCATCTTGTGTATTCTGTTGTAAGCTAACGAGATGGTAACTAGCTTCGGACAATCCATAATGGAGCCGGATGTCAAGACTTTTATTCGATTGCCGGTTAAATCAAGGGATAACAGTTCAGTCAAATTATGAAAACTTGATTCTGGGATCGCCTCCAAGAAGTTGTATCCCAGTTTGACATCTCTTAATTCCGGATGTACGCTTGAGAGAAATATCCTCTCAGGTAAATAATGCAGTCTGTTCGATTCCATGTTAATATAACGTAGTTGTTGGAAGGAGTAAAAGGCGGTCGCCTCGATTGTCTGGAAATTATTGTTGTCTAATACAAGCCAACGAAGATTTGAGAGTGGCCTGAGCGCACGTTGAGGAAAAATATCTGTAGCGAAGGCGAAGCTCAATTCGAGAATGTCCAGACTCTCCTCGATACCAACAAAGCAGTCATCATCAAGTTCCGTTAAGTGATTGAAGGATAAGCTGAGCTCCTTTAATTTGCCTAAAAAATAATGTTCTATTAAAGAGATAAATTCATATACGTGCAGTTAGGTAATATATTTCTATAAACGGTTTTGCTTTTTTAATTAAATAATTAAAAAAAAATATATATTTTTATATATATTATTTCTAGAGATTATATAAATATTAAGAACGCTTATATTTTTTTGTAAAAATATGTATATTTATTAGTTTCGATAATCACGTGTATATACGCTTAAAAGTTTTATTTATTATATTATTGGAAAACATCTTTTTTTTTAAATTTAATATATATTTGATTACGTTTTAAAAATTAATTCTTGTAGAAATTGTTTCTTCAAAATTTGATCCAAGAATTAATTTCATATAAGCTGAGCTCCTTTAATTTGCCTAAAAAATAATGTTCTATTAAAGAAATAAATTCATATACGTGCAGTTATGTAATATATTTCTATAAACGATTTTGCTTCTTTAATTAAATAATAAAAAAAATAAAATTATAATTAAATTTAGGAATATTAATCAAAAGTATGAATGTATAGTATTAATGCAATATATTAATAAGTAAGCTACACATAAACAGCAAGCATGTAACTTAATCTGAATTAATGACTGTGATGTATATCGATTTTATTTCGGTTAATGTACTTTCGCAATCGATTTACGGGTAACGCACCGGCTCCCTTGAAGGTCTCAGCTTTCAGTTTCGTCAGGACATTGTTCCTGAGCAATAGGATCTCAAGGTCCTCGGCCCATTCGAAATCACCCGATTCTACATGAGAGATCTTGTTATAACCGAGATTCAGGTGCAGTAGCCTCTGGCATCTGTTTCGAAGATTGATCATCAGATATATTGCATTAAATTTTCTTCCCGCCCTATTAGAATCTTATAGCTCATTAGCTCATATCTTCTGCTACGTAATTTATTTTGACCTTTACAATCTCTATTATATAACACAAAAAATTTCTCGCACATGAATGTAATGTAAGAACACGCGCGTACTAATCGGTTATATGTTTTTGCGTTTAATTCTTATATAGAATAATAAATTTATAAAAACATCGTTTGAAAGTAATACAGACGAATTAACTTTTTATTATATATTTCTGCATTTTTTATTAATAACTTGAATTTATAATTAATTTAATGAATTATTAACATGGATAAAAATATTTTTATTTTACTAAAAATGCATTTGGTAATCAACATTTTTATGTTGCTAAAGACAACATTTTTATATTTTTATATATATA